CACACACACTCAAGGGTCCCTTGTACCACAGCCTCTTCGGAACATAAAATGCCTCCAAATATGAGCTGTGCGCAGAGAAAATCCCATTTGCCAGATCATATGGGGCGGGGGTGGGAGGGTGAACAGAGAGAGAGAGAGAGAGAGAGAGAGAGAGAGAGAGAGAGAACGAGAGAAGCTAAATCCAGCAGGTTTCTGAACATGTAAGGCTGACGGAAACGCAGAGCATAGAGCCCATCCATCCTCCCGGCCAGCGGCAAGGCCAGAGTGAAGTGCCCACAAAGCCCATGGAAATGTCTGAGACTGAAGTTTCTGAGCACATAGCACCCATTATGTCTGTGTTGCAATGAAGCTCACATGACTCATTCCTCATCTGAATGGACAGACTGGTTTCCCTGAAATCGCCTCAGCTTGGTGGGGGGTGGGGGTGTTGTAATTAAATGTTAATAAGTGTCCCTATACCTGAGAATTGCGACTAATCAGGGTGGGGCGGGCAAAAGAGTACTTGCCAAGGTTCTTATCCTAGCCTGGGAGACTCTGCCATCTGTCCCCCGGCAGGCAACTGATTCACAGCTACTGGAGTGAAATTATGGAAATGAGTTTTGCAACTCTTAGGACTACTTATGGGCGGATTGATAGATTTCTTTGGCACCGTGTTTTGGGGGCGGATGGGGGAATAATAACCCTGGGTCAGTCTACACAGCCCTCTTCACACAGCCTGTTGCCAAGTAACACCGACATTCTAGAATCAAACACATTTCCTTTGTAAATTTGACTGTGGTTTTCACCACAGCAAGTTGCTGCAAGTTTCACGTGTCCACGTATGAAGGAGTGGAGATATTAGACGTCATATGTGACTATATGGCAGGAGTATCGCTCGGTCCTCGGGCAGGAAAGAACACTCAGCACACACGTCCGTTTCCCTTTTGCTCCCTGGTCTTCAGGCTGGCTCGATGGTGAAAGCCAGGTCCTAACAGCCATCCAAGTGAGGAGTCCACTAAGTCCACAAGGAAGAAGCACACCATGATGCAAAGACGACAATAACAAAATTCAAATATGACAAAGGGGAACGTATCAGAGCCCAAATTGCGAACACCAATTTTAGAAAGTTATAGAGGACAGTGGGTGCCCCCAATCCATCTGCAGAGTGTCTGGTCAGAGTGAGCCGCTGGCAGAGCCCCACTAGCCACAGGCAAAGCCCTCGAACAGCTTGACCATCAGAGAGGGGTCATTTTCATGGTGGCAATACTGTATCCAACTGATCCTCGGTCAGCTGACCTCCCTCTTGACCCAACCGGAAATTCTCCTAGATGCAAGTGTTTCTTGCTAGTTCCATGACAAAAAACGTCTTCCCTGCCCCTTTAAATATTCACGGTGGAGTTTTCTTTCAGACTCACTATTTGTGCTATTATTATTTAGTCCTTATCACTTTATTTTGTTTTTTATGATTTCTGTTGGGTTTCCCAGTTTCTGAAGCACAGAAGGAGTAGATGTATAGAGATAAGAACTGATACAAAGGTCTATAGGGGACGTAGGGGTGGGTGTGAGAGATAGGAGGGGTGAAGGGGTGTGCGGGTGGGGGTGGGGAGCAAACAATGTAGATGGAAGGGGGAAGGGAACGCTTGAATTGATGGTGATTACACAACTCATTTTAAAAGTGATTTAACCATGGGTGGGGGGTTGAGTGGAGAAAGTGTTCTAAAATTGATTGTGGTAATAATTATGCAACTCTTCTTGATATGATTGAACTATTGAATTGTGTGATATGTGGATTAAGTGCCAATAAAACTGTTTAAAGAAAAAGAAACCTAATTCTAATAAATCAATGTTAAAAAAAAAAAAAGCAGGGTTCTAACATCAGTCTCCACAACCTTGAGAGACTAGCAGAAAGAGGTGGTCCCCGGCGATCACTACCAACTGCTTTGAAAGGGGTCACCTTAGAGGATTCGGGATAAAGTAGGAAAAGGTTGTAGAACAAAACCGAGCATCATAAAGAAGAGCAGCCTTCCTGGCCAGCGACAGACTGGCAGAACCCCCAACCCCACCCCTCCACCGCCCCAGACGATGTGTTTATTCACTCTTCAGCTTCGGAACTGAACCCATTTCCATGGTTCTACACTCAGATTGGAATAAGAACCTCCATGGTTCTGTAAATGGAACCGTTAACAGGAGGGATTACACATGCCTTAAAATAATCAACCACGTGAGACTCTTTAAAAGGGTGGCATGTACCCAAGAACCAACCTCATTAGGGTCAGGAAAGAAGGCGGGAGGGATACAGGAAACACAAGGAGGAAGGGCATAAGGGAGGTGCATTGTGGGGAATGTAGTCAAGGACACGAAACAAAGCGTGTATGAATTGCTGAATGGAAAACTAAACTGCTCTGAAAATCTTCACCCGTTTCACAAGAAAGACTTAAAAGACAAACACTTGGGTTCTGGACTCAGATGAAACAGCATCTTCCTGACTCACTCGCTCACTTCTCACTCACTGTCTCACTCTCACTCACTGCCTCACTGACTCACTTTCTCACTCACTCACTGTCTTACTCTCACTCACTGCTTCACTTGCTCACTGCCTCACTCACTGCTAAAAAAAAAAAAGAAAAAGAAACAGCATCTTCCTAACCTGTCTACCTAGAAGTGGTGTGGTCCGGGACGAGTGCAGACTGGCTCGAAGCCTCAGTTCCTTCATCCACAAGATGGAGCAGTCAGATCCACCTTCAGCATATAAGGAGGCTCAAGGGAGGACATGGTCAGTGGGCCGCAAAGGCAACTAGAACTTCAGTGCCCAACACGTACGTGGCTGATGGCGGCAGTAAGAACATCTCCTGGTTCACAGCACATGAAAAAGTTTCTGTATTTGCAATGATGTTGTGTCTATATTTCACAATCAAAACATAGCTTACTAAAAGCGCTTTCTCAGGCTGGTGCCTTACCCAGGGCCTTACTGAAATGATTAGGCTTGGGAATAGGATAACTGGGTTTGCTAATTGACCTTCCTCATTGCAGCCTAAGGCCCAGGTTCATTTGCTAACCCAAGTGGTCTCCTTTGCTCTGCTCTGGTGTACGGATTCCCTCTAACCAAGCTGGGGACACAAATAAAACACCTGTTACCTGTAGTTGAATTGGACTCATGGCAATTCCATGGAGTAGAGGAGAACTGCGCCATAAGGATTTCTTGGCAGTTCTCTAGACCGACGCAGTTGCCAGTGCCACTGGGTGGGTTTGAACCTCCAACCTTTAGGGTAATGGTCAAGCACACACTGTGCCACAGGGTGACTTTCTGAGCACATAGGTTGTCATTACTGTGTGCTGTTGACTCAATTCCAACTCACAGCACCCTACTGAGCTGAGCAAGCCCCAAGAGTTTCTCAATCTTTACAGGAGCAAGGGCCAGGGTTTTTTCTCCCCTGGAGGGGCTGTGAACCACCGACCTTTCCACAAGCAGCTGAGCACTGGCTCCTCTGAACACATGCAACCCGAACCTAACCCACTGCCAAGGGGTCCATTCTCTCTCAGAGCACCCCTAATGTACAGAATCGAAGTTCCCCGGGGTGCTGCCAAGGCCGGAATCCTTATAGACACAGATGACCACCTCTTTTTCCCACGGAGCAGCTGGTGAGCTCAGCCACTGTGCTCGTAGTTAGCAGCCTGCTCCCTGCAGCAGCACCGCCCCGGCAGGGCGTCTTGAAAGCATCTAAGTGTCTAGAAACACCAGCTTCTTGATTTCAGGAGTGCGCTGCCCCGCGGAACTTTCTGCCACGATCGAAAAGGTCTACCATCGGCATGGTCCCCTGCGGCAGCCTCTCGCCAGGTGGGGTTAATGGAGCACTTAGAATGTAGTGCCCGCCCTGGAAGAACTGAGGGTGTTGTTGCCTTTAACCTTCAGGAACTCAGATGTACATAACCATAGATGACCACTGTCTTTGGATGGTGCAATGTTAAAGATTCTTTCTCCCTATCAGCAAAAAGAATCTCAGTCCCACACATATTGTGGCTGCATTGCTCTGTCATTTGCTTGCCTGACATTTCATGGTTCCCACAGGGTTCTATGATATGAGTTAAAAAAACACAAATCCACTCATGAGAATATGCACACACTGTGAGAAAGGGGAACCATGGTTGCCTAATTGTGTTTCAAAAGCAGCAGGGCTAGGGGCAAGGACAGGGGCAGGCCAAGGCGGTGCAAACTCAAAGCCATCCTTGCCCTTACCCAGGCCTCTGAGAAACCGCTAGCTAGGGAGGTGAATCATGGCCCCCTCCCCTGGGCCAGAGGAGAACTGTCCTCCCATGGCCGCTTCTTTTCAGAAGAAGCTCTCAGGACTTTCTTAGAAGGCACCTCTGGTTAGACTCAAACCTCCCACTTTCAGTTCGCAGCCCAGTGCTGAGCCTTGGTGGCACCACCCCGGAACACCTACACTCGCACTGTGACAACAAAGAAACCCACAGCTCTGGCCATGGTCTTCACCAAACCTTGCTGTGCACCACTGGCCACAAGACCATCACAAAGGCACACAGACAGCCATTGCCGGTCACAAGGACAGCGGAGCAAGGTGGATGGAGTCCCTGTCTGTGGAGCGTGGTCATCACGGTCCCTCCAACCCTTGTCGATCACTTTCTATGAAGTACAGTCCTGATTTTCAAACCCTTGACTTGCTCTCTCTGGACAGAACAGCACAGAAGAGAAACAGGAAGAGAGAGAGAGAGAGAGAGAGAGAGAGAGAGAGAGGCTTGAAATTCTGCTTTGAGCCAAGTCTGTAGGGCCAAGACTACCAGCCACATATTTATTTTAAACACTGTTATTTGCTGTGTGTTCTCTTGTGGTCCCGACAATGATTCTGCACGGATCTTCAAAGGCAGAGGAGCGTCATGGAAGCATTTTAGGCACGAGGATCCTAGCAGATGACCCTCCCTGCCTGCGCGCAGGGTGGGGGTGGGGGCACTATGATTCACAAAGGTGTCTTTAGCTGACTTTCATTCCAGTTGTCATACAGGTTCCAGATCAACTGGGCCAAATTAATAGGTGGGGCCGACGCTCCAAGCAGTAATCCATTCAGCTGCCAGAGTGCAGCCTTTCCAGGTCTAAACTCCGCCCCGGGCCCCCACTAGCACTCAGGTTTACCCAGTGGGCAGGCACGGGCCTCTTACCTGCAGGTCTCAAACCCGATGCTCCGGGCTTTCTCCATCTGTTCCATGGTCGGCAGGGTGCTATTGAAAGCCTTACAGAGGTCAGCAGCCTCCGTCAGCGAGATGCTGTATCGGCCATTTTTCTCCACGTGGTACACACCGGCATATCGGCAGGTTATGTTCAAATCTACGGGATGGAACAGAAGGGTTAGATTCTTTGGCTTCAATCCTTGGGCAAGAAGAAGAAGTTCATTTGGGGAGGGGTAAAGTGATCCTGCTAGACTGACTCTTCTTCAAATTCCCTCTGGCATTCCAACGCCCCATCACACTAAGCTCAAATCGGGGCCAAGACACAAGGCAGTGTCGCTCCGACACGAGTTCCACAACAAAGTCGTTTTGTTTGGGTTTGTTTTAGCTTCTTTTAAAAGAACATACAATTTATTTCTGATTGCTAGAGCGATTCGGACTCCTGGAAAGCTCACAGAGTACCAGCAATGGAGGTTCCCTGGACGGCACAAATGATCTGGAGTTAAGGACTAGCCAAAAGTTGGTGATTCAAACCCAACCTGTGGCGCCGTAGGAGGGGAACTGGGAGATCTGCTTCTGGATAAAAGTCCCTGTCATGAGAACTTAGTGTCCCTCTGGGGCACACGGTGGGGGGGGGGGGTGTCCCCAGGAGTCAGCATCAACCCACAGCAGCAGGTTTGGTTTCTTGATTGAAAGAAGTAAAAGCGAAGCCCACCACCGCCCCGAAAACCATGGCGCACATTTTACTGTCTCTCCGCCCCGCGCCTCTCTGAGGATCAGTACTGTCCTGCCCCTGAGGCATGGTGACCCCACGCAAATGGAGCCGAGCCCTGCTGGGCCCTGCACCACCCCCACGACAGGCTGGGGATGGGACCATTCTGACCCCTAGGGTTTCCATTGGCTGATTTGGGGAAGCAGGTCACCGGGCCTTTCTTCCTACGTTGACTCCAGGAGCTCTGCTGAGAACTGCTTGGCGTCATAGCAACATATCCACCCTCACTGCCGGATGGATGGTACCCACACAGGAGGAGCGTTGGCTGGACTCAAACCGGGGTCTTACATGCAGAAGGCAGTCATTCGACCACTGAAAGCCCGTATCTGAGAGACCCGGGGATCTTGCCACCCACAGGGGAAGTGGTCGCCAGTGTCTTGCAGTGAAGACTAGACAAAGGAGCTAGCCCTCCAAGAGTTCCCTGATCATACACGAGGCGGCTCCAAAAAGTTGGTGGAAAAACTCCATTATCTTTCCCCTCCAGGTTCTCACACATTTTTTGAAGCCCGCTCCCCAGGCCCCAACGCATATACTCGCTAGTTGAAATAGCACTGCGTCTACAGCTTTACGACTGAGAATCCTTCTTGCACTTAATATAGTTTGTGTACTTCTCCACAGTCCAGCGGTATCCCTTCGTTGACTATGGCCTCCAAGATCCAGAATACATGCACTCATCGCCCCCAGAGGGAGGAGCCCTGGTGGTGCAGTCTTGACACGCTGGGCTACTGACCAAGAGGTCGATGGTTCGAGCCCCGCAGCTTTTGTGTGGCGAAAGAGGTGGCTGTCCACTTCTGTAGACTACAGCCCTGGGTGCCCAATCGTGCAGTGCTATGGCATTAGCCTCTTTGGGGCCCATGACGGGGCTCCTGTCTTCCTCTCTCACCTCCAAGTAGTTTCTTCTGCTCCAGGTGCAAAGCGTTCCTCCGGGTCCTTCAGACACTCGGGCTCTTTCCCACCTTACCCAGAGCCCATTGCCATGGACTTGACCCTGACTCCTCCCAGCACTGCCAGACAGAGAACGACTCCATGGGGTTTCCAAGGTCGTCACCTTTGTGCAAATAAATGGTCACGTCTTCCTCCCGTGCAGATGGCGAGTCTGAACAGTCGACCTTTGGGTTCACAGCTAAGCATTTAACCATTGCACCCCTGAGGCACTTATATCTGCCTTGCCCCTCTGTCTGGAAGGTTCCATCCTCAGTTCTTCACGTGGGTGGTTCATTTTTGCCAGTCAGCATTTCCACTCCACCTGCCCTCGCTCAGAGGCCTCCTCTGGGCCCCGGAGACAGCTTCCAGCCTCCCTTTCCCTTCCTCCTGCTCTTGTGTCTTCAGCCATGACCAACCTCCTCTCCAGGTGAGGCAGCACCAGGGAAGCACAGCTGGAGGAGTCCTGTCTGGCTCTGTCTCAACACTTGCACCAGTGCCCGCCATCATGTAGATGCTCCACAAATGCTGACTGGATGCACGAATGCTCATGGACACCCCTCCCCGCCCCCAGATGCTTTTAACATACAGACATATCTTGGCTGCTTGCAACCAAGAGTAGATGTCATTGGTAACAGGCATCCTGCTGTTGGCTGGTTACAGAATGACTTAAGGCAAAGACTTCTGTGAGTTTTGTACCCAACCTATTGCCAGCATTAACCTGAAAACTCAACAGGGAGCCCCAGATTCTCCTGTGAAGTCTGATCCTGTGTAATAATCCCCAAGGAATTTAAGATCTTTAATTAAAAAAAAATTAAAATGTTCTTCTTCTGGGCCTATATTATCCCTGGGTTACACCAAGGTGACCCTGCCACTGATGTCTCCGTCACTGGAACGGTCCTGGTGACACGTGGCTCCTCTGAAGAAGCACATCACCAGCATGGACTCTGAACCTACCCCCACCCTACTCCACCTCCCTGTCCCAGGCTCCTGGCCTGGCCCCACTGTGGGTCAGCTAAGAACCAGGTGTGGATTCTTACAGAACCCAAACTCCTTGTCTTGCTTGTGCGGGTCTAGAGGCGAGGTAAGTCAGGACTGAGATTGTATGCTTCCACTGATATGAACTATCCAGAGTAGCCAAGTGCATGGTGGTCAAAAGCTCACTAGTGGCTGCTCGAGATGGGTGGGAGGGTCAATGAGGGTATTGCTTAAGGGGTACCAGGCTTTGGTTAAAGGTGATGAAATAAAACAAAACAAACTCATGGTTTCCGCTCAAGTGGCTCATGCAACACTTGGCTGGTGAAGCAACAGGGGCATAGAGAAGGGAAATACACAAAGCCCTTTTGAAATACGATTGTTTTTTAAAGTGGCATTTTCAGTCCTGGCCTCCATTGGCCAATCCTTGCAAAGGGAAACTGCCAATCTGGGTGACAGCCCTTCATTCAGGTGGCTCTCCTTGTCCAGCCTACAGAAGCAAAACAGAACTTCTAACGCGGCATCTTGAAAGATGTGGCTGAGGAGGGCTTTAGGTGAATGCTGGGACTATCTAGCTGCGGGCCCAGGTGGCTGCTCTCTGAGGCACAGATGGTGGTTTGGAGCTGAGTAGCAAATTCTCCCTCGTTGAATTCCATCTCACCAAAGGGTCAACAGAGTATGCAAATGCAGAAGGAACAAAGTCAGGCTGAAGCCTGTGAATGAGCCCTCCTGAGTCTCCCGCATAGCGGCCACCATAACATGAGAGATAATCCCCATGAGCATTGTGTGAGCAGGTGGATCTGTGTGCCAGCCACTGAGCATGTAGGTGTGTCCACTAAGACAGGGTGAGAGAGTACACATTACCTTCAGCCTGCCTAGGCTGGAGAGCAAGAACAGGGCCTAACACATGACAGGGGCTCAGCAAGGGACCGCCAAGTGAATGAGCACACGCCATTCAAAGTTGATTCTATATTCATTTCAGCCACCGGAAGAAGGCCAAGCTCACAACTCTGATGGCATTTAGACATTCAGGAACGCAAAAATGGTGCCCACGGCTTCCCTTCCTGCCAAACTGTGTCATAAGCACTTATCATTTCTCTCTTCTGAACCCCCTGTGCTTTAAGAGGGACAAAGCCTTCAAGTGGGTGTCATTGAAGTCCTAATAATTCATGAAGACGTACCAATAGGCATCCTTAGCATGTCAATACAAGCGATCATCTCCAAGGGTAATGATGACTACCCAATAATACAAAAGAGATCTCAAACTCATGGCCATCGGGTCGGTTCTGACTCAGGGTCCCCTTTAGGGCAGGGTAGAACTGCCTGTGGGCTTCCAAGATGGTAACTCTTTCCGGGAGTAGAAAGCCCTATCTTTCTCTCACAGAGTGGCTGGTGACTTCGAACTGCCGGCCTTGGCAGTTAGCAGCTCCACTCGTAACCACAGTGCCACCAGAGCTCCTAAGAACAATCATGGTCACTGATGCTGATCGTGGCCTTTTGATAGAGGCAAGAGGCGCCGAAGAATCTATAGAAAACTTCCAGTATCTTTTCATCCCATTTTTCCATGAACTTTTGGAAGACTTCTTGCATTTTCCAAAGAGCTCTCCCTGGTGGCCCTGGCAGGTAGTGCTGGAGAAGGTTGGCAGTTCAAACCCACCAGCCACTCTGAGGAAGAAAGATGAGGCTGTCTTGCTCCCATGAGGATGTGCCTCTTTGGAGATGCTCTATAACAGCGGTTCTCAACCTGTGGATCACGACCCCTTTAGGGGTCAAATGACCCTTTCACAGGGGTCACCCGATTCATAACAGTAGCAAAATTATAGTTATGAAGTAGCAACGAAAATAATTTTATAGTTGGGGGGGTCAACACCACATGAGGAACTGTATTAAGGGGTCGTGGCATTAGGAAGGCTGAGATACACAGCTCAAAAAGATCACCAAGAGTTTGTATGTGCCAGGTACTCCGTATGTTTGTTACAAGTATTAACTCATTTTATTCTCAATATAGCCCTCTGAGTTTGGTAATACTATGGTCCCTATTTTCCAGCTACAGAGACCAAGGCCCAAAGAGGAGAAGAACCATTGCCCAGTTCACAGCGCTATTAGTGAGGGAGCCAGGCTTCATTAACTGCAACTCCAGGCCCTCGTTTAAATAACTGCCCATGACCTCTAGCTGCTGAGCACATGCCAAAGTAAGGGTGAGGTGTGAGGAGCCATGAGGCACATCACACACACACACACACACACACAATGGAGAGAGCAAAGAAACAGGGGACTCTCCAGGTGTACATGTACACTCCTGAGAAACAGAAAACTGGATCTGGGACCCAGTAGTAAATAGCCCATTGCATCTCTCACACAAGCATCTCCAGCTGGCTATCCATCAACTTCCCTTTGGGCCCTTGGGTCTCCCATGAACCTCCTGCATCTCACAATAGACCGACCCAAGTGTCTCCCTGGAAGAGGCTGAGGGGTAGGGAGGCAATAAGCGA